GGGCCGCGGCTGGAGGGGATGGGGCGGGCGCGCCATCGGAGCCGGCGGCCGGGTACCAGGCTCCGCCGCGGGCGGCGCCGCCCTCTTTTTTCGAGGCGGCTGGGGGAGGGGAGCCGGCCCCTGCTAGCCTCGCCGGGAGGAGGGTGACCGACAGCTTTCCCGGGCGCGGCCTGGCCTCGCCTGGCTGCTTGGGGGAAGGGAAAGGGAGAGCCCAGCCAGGGGTCCCCATTGGTCCTCTAGATCCCCGGTAGCGACGTGTCGGCTCCGGAGTCGGCTTCCTGCTGATCAGATGTGCCGTACTGGAAAGACTGGGAATACTCATCCCAAGTAGAAAGTTTTTTAGCACAGAGCAGCTGGGAGACTTCGGCTTCTCAAAAGATGATCAAAGATGATCACATCGGCCCCTGTCCTTGCTGAAGCAATCCATCCAGAGATGCTCACCCGAACTCAGCTTGGTTCTTTGCCAAATGTAGGGTCTAGTGATCATGCATTGCTGCCCTCCATTTAAAAAAAAAAACGTGCTTTGGCTTGAGGGAAGTGGCCTTTAAGAACGCAGAGACCTGCGTCCGATGGTAGAGTGTTTTACAATGGGGGATTCCCAAACTACATTTACCTTCACCAAATAGATATAAAATAACCTTTTAATCTATGTTCGTAGAGTTTATCCTTTCTAAGCCACTTTCCTCTGTCTTGGGTTGTCTTGTTTCCAATTTTGACTCAAACACTGGAGTTTTCTAGTCCGTGAGTAGGGTCCATTTAGGCATCGGTTTCCTACCCCCATCCCAATCTGTGCCCCCTAATTCATTAAACTCAGAACTCTTCAGAGAATGGCTCTGTACAGTCACATGGCAGGATGGATATTCATGTTTCTTCATCACCCAGTTCCAGCCAAACCCTGGGTCTTTTAGGGACCCACCACTCCCTCCCTGTATTCTAAAACCGCGCCTTCCAGAACCCTGAGACCTGACATGTGCGCTCTTGCCAGCCCCTCCTAAACAAAGACCTTACAACAGAATTCGAGCTTGAAGCCTGCGGGTCAGAACCCTTCCCATCTTCAAGAGCCAACAGAAACCTCTGGAGCCTTTCCCAAGCTGCTCTTGTTAGAAGTGATCATTCTCTGAGTAGTAAATGGGAGTTTTCATTTCCTCACAGTTCACATTATACTGGTTGGCCTTCCCTGCATTTTGTTTTTCTACGCAGTACCAGAAGGTGGGAATTTCTGCGATTCTGGGTTTGGTTTTACTCAGCAAGTACTTTCTAAGAATCGCCTATCCAGAATGTAGTAATCGGTCTTGAGAAATAAGGAAAAATTCTCCTTACTGGAAGTACTCAGGAAGAAGTTCAATAACTACTCATCTGTTAGGAGATTTCATTAGCGTGATGTTAAGATCGGATGAGCTGATTTCAGTCATACTTTGGCTGCTAAGCAGGTAGAGCAGGTGACATTTCCTGCTTGTAGATGGGGCAGCCTGGGTTTGGGTAGTTGAATGTCCAGAGCCAGAACCTAATTCTTAACAGAAGCAGAGTTAGAACGCAGACTCTGCTCCTCATCTGCTAGGTGCTCTTAGCAGTCCTTGCATTCTGCTAGAACCCTTAGCCGTTTGTTTTATTCTCACGGGTTTTAGTGGTTGATGGATTATATATTGATGTGAGCCTTTTATCTTGATGCCCCCTCTCCCAGCCTCTGTCCAAGGGACTTTAATATTTCATCTATTCTTACACTTTCCATTCTGACTTGGTTTCTTAAAACTTGTGTACATGTTCTGTCTGCTCTTGCAGTGTATTTAATGTCTAGAGAGCATTGTTATCTCTTATTCCTCTTTGTCTCTTTCCTAAAACCTTGTACATTGTTGACATTTGCTAAGTAATTTTCTATGAGAAAAATCCAAGAGTTTCTTACATTTTTACATTTCAGTTCCTACTGGGTTTTAAATACCTTTATGGAAAAACTGTAAAATGAACTCAAGCAGGACAAAATATTTTAATAGTATATATCCCACCTTCTTTTACTTGCTAAAGGATTTACTAGGTGAAGTTAAGAAAAACTCAACTTTCATCATCTGCTATCTGTGATTTTGTTCATTAATGGACTGGTTTTTGCTTAGAAAATTGAACTGCAGTAGATAGCTGTTAAGAGCTGGGACTCTTGTAAACTTTACAAAATACACACACAGTGTTGGGGGGTCAGGAGTGTTTGAACTCAAGAGTAATAAATTGCCTTCCGATAGCAGTACAAATCAGGTGGCAGGTGCAGAAGTGAGAGTCACTGGCTAGCAGAAGCCAGGGCCTCTACTTGGTTGGCATAGAGGCATTGGGTGGAGGGGCTTCCCTGTCCTATCCTCTGCCCACTCTGCCTCCTTAAGCCACAAATGAACAGCATCGCAGCCATTCAGATGACTGTGCATTCATGGTCTGGCTGGTCTGTCCCTGCTCCATACAGCTGCTTCTGAACCAGCTGTGAGATGCTGAGTCATGAACTTTATTCTTTGCATTCATCGCTGAGCCTGTGAGCTGCCCGGGCTGCCACATTCTCCAGCATCAGAAGCGTACTTTAAAACAATAGCCCCCGGGAGCCAGAAAACTGAATGCAAGAGTACAGTTTATGGATGTGTCAGCTCATGGAAGCTGTACATACTACAATTTTTAAGACAAATAGTGGTAGGCACAGCCATAGTTACTACAGTCCTTTTAGGATGCTGGAGATAATCTTACTGTGGTAAGTAAAAGGTCACAGTCTGTTGGCCTCACTTAAGTGCTCTTATGGATGCCTGACTAAGGAGTTGGAGGGAAAGTTCAGACACTATGGTTTTTTTGTTTCAATATTTTTATATATTTTGGTGTTCTTTTCCATTAGGAATTGATGATTTACACTTAATAGCAAAACTTTGTCTCATTTTAATTATATTTCTGTATAACTTTTGCTGTACCTCAAATATTTCTTACAGTACTAGAATACATTGAAATTTTCTTCTTCCATGTTTCTTAAACTGTTTAATAAAAGTATAAGTTGCTTCCGTGTGACATAAATGACCAAAGTACAGTTTAACAACCATATAAACAAGGACTCAGATCTGTTGAGTATCTGGGTTTCAGCTGACTTTGCAGCTATATGCAGTGAATATTTTAAAAGGGTGGGATATTGAAATGCAACCTTTGAGGCCACTGCCTCAAGTGGAGAGTGAACTGTGAAAATCCTGTCTTCCCTGGCAGGCATGCGGGTGGAAGAGACAGTACAAACAAGAGGCTCTATCTCACTGGGTGCAGTGAGGTGGCTGAACTTTCAGACAGGGCTGTGTGTGTGTGTGTTGAGGGTTCTTTGTCTTTATAACCTGGTTAAAAAGGAGGACAGTGGTGATGTACAGTTGTCCCAGCCCTTGGGAGGTTGAGGCAGGAGCAGAGGAGTTCTCTTTGAACATATAGTCATAAATAAAGCACAGTTTTTGTGTTCCAAATAGTGACCTTAGTTTGCTCTTCTTTTTTCCTATTTCTTCTCGGGGCAGAGTACAGATCACATCTGTTCTGAAGTTAAGAGACTGTGTGGCTGTGGAGCACTGTTGGTATACCCACACCAGTCTTGTTATCTGAGCCTGCCCAGGCTCCTGTCTTCACACCACTTCTTGCTGTGCTTTCACGCACTATGAGAACACCTCCACAGAACCCTTTCCTTATTTTCCCGTTCTCATTAAACTGCATTCCTTCTCCATGCTGTCCAACACCTGGATCATCGCAGTCTCCACATGCTCTGACTTGACACCCTCAGCTGTGAAGACTTGAGGTTCCCATGGTGACCTCTGCCTGAAATGATGCTGTTGGTACGGCATTTATTTGGTGTTACGTAAGCAAACAAACTCTTAAGAAAAAAATCAGTAAAACTAAGTATTTAATATGCTTCAAATATATTAGAATGGTAATGTCCATAAACAAAGTTGCTAAATGTTAATAAAAAATTAATTTTGTGAAAATGTAATTGTTATTTTAGATCAGCTAATTAAATCATCCAGAAAGACACAGACATTGTAATGAAAACTTGCAATAAAATACCTTTATCTGGTCTTGGTGGCACACATCTATAACCCCAGGCCTGAGTTTTAGATTAGCCTGCCTCTGTTGGTACATAGAGCTCTGTTACAGATCCAGCTGCCTAGCAAGATCCTGCTCCTGACCCAGTCTCTTAACTGTGATCTTTTAAAATTGGCTTTGTGTGCAGGGCCATTGTTGTAAGTTATGTGGCATTTTGTGTTTGTCTTTCTGCACACTGTGATGTTTTCTAGAAAAGCCTGTTCTGCCTTTGTCAGTAGTGTTGAGGCTGAGCTAGTCCTGAGTGTTGTCCCAGATTACGTTATCCTCTTACTTAATTACTTCTTAAGTGATATATATATATAATTTTTTTTCTTTTTTTTCCTATATAGTTTTTTGAAGGGGTGGAATCTGTTTTGGTAGCAAGCTATAGGTCTTGTTTCCATGCAAGCATTCTTCCTAGTTTCATCATGAGTAAAAGGAGAATTCATTACAGTCGTCTTTGTGTTCATTAAACTATAGGGTTCGAATGGGAATTCATCTTTCTGTGTTGTCATTTTCTCTGAGGATAATGTTATGGTGACACATACTTAGACTCTCAGCTACAATAAGAGGCTTCAAGTTGACTGCAGCCCAGGCTATGTGGTGAGACCGGTTCTCCACAAATTCAGGTTTCTTAAACGAGGATTTTCTATGCAGGAGTGTTAGTCTGTGTGTGTATGTGATACAAGAGAGGGCACAAGTGTGTCACAGCATGTGTATAGAGGTGAGGGGACCCCTGGTGTTAGTCCTGGATTTCCACCCTGTTTGAGAGGTCTCTGGTTTTATGCTGTGCATGCCGTGCTAGATGGCCTGCAGCTTCTGGGATGATGCTCCTCCTCCTCCTTCCCATCTTGTTGGAGGAGCACTGAGGTGCCAGGGCTCTGCTGCAGCACCTGCGTTTGCATGGGTTCTGGGATCCGAACTCAAGGCTCCAGGATTTTGACAAAGACTGTGGACAGATCTTCCCGGCCCTCAACAAAACATTTTTTTGTTTGTTTAAGTACAGGTTGCGGGTCCTGTTTTCAAGGTGCAATTCGTGTTTCACATATTAAAATACCGACATAGTGGTGTTTCAGGAATACTATGAGGAGACACCCTAGTATTTCATGTCTTCTTGTGGTGACATGTGTGACAAGGGGGACTGCACTCCCAGCTGGTGTCCTGTGTGTCAATGCTGGCTTCCGTGCTTTCTGCCCTCGTCATTGGATCAGACTCGTCCTCCCCATACCTCCTTCGCCTTGTCTTTGTTTTCTGCAGGAAGGGCCGTGTTGTGGTTGACCCCAGGCTCTTGTGTCTGTTAGGAAGGGTCCCCCATTCAGCCACATCCCCGGCCTTCCTTCCCACGGTCTGCTCTCCTGACCTGCAGTGCATTCTTCCTTTGATTCTTTTATGTCTTCCTTTTCCGTCTTTCCCTCGGTTCCACTTACAGAGTCAGTTGGGCCTGTTTTGAGAAAGGAAGAACTAATAATGAGGGACCTTGATTAGCACTGCTTGGCCCCATTAGTCTCTGCCTGCCACTTTAGAAACCACTTCTGCAGGAGGATTAGCTGTCAGCTGACCTTTGATCGAGGTTCCCTCCTTGTCTTTTTGTTCTTTTGAGACTTACTCATATGTAAAGACTACTGAGAGCAGCTAGTGTTCTTACCTGCTGAGCCTTCTCTCCAGCCCCCGACCCCATCATTTTGGGGCACACTTGTAACCTAGCAAATGAAGTCTAGAAATCTTTTCCTGTTCTCATTTGACATGGCTAGCTGCTCTCTTAAAATTTGAAGCCTAACACCATTGTGGCCATCTGATTGTAGAAACATGAGTTAAGCCTGTTGTGCCCCAGGTTCACTTGTGATCATGGCTCTTCTGGTTTTTTGCCTATCACATGAAATGATGTGGAAATGGTCTGGCGCCTACTTAGTAACGAGTAGTTGCTGCACACAAGCAGCGACCACTGCCCCGCCTAAGACAGCCTTTTCATTTCTGTTCGCTTTCCTTCCTTCCTCCTCTACCCCGACCCCAAAAGAGCTTTTCTAAGCTCTCCCCACACCCCGAGGTTCTGCTTTGAAGAGATGTTTTACAAGTGTTTGACAGTTGTGAGGACTGACCTGGCAAGTTAGTTAGTTATAGATAGGTTATCCAGCAGGCAAGATCATGTCTCC